CCGCCTGCGGGATTCGCGAGCCGCGTTACATGCATGTCCAGTGGGGGTAGGTTTAATTTTGACGATGGAGGGTCCTACTGCGGAGGCTGGGAGGACGGCAAGGCGCACGGCCATGGCGTCTGCACCGGCCCCAAGGGCCAAGGCGAATACACCGGCTCGTGGAGCCACGGCTTCGAGGTGCTGGGCGTCTACACCTGGCCCAGCGGCAACACGTACCAGGGCACTTGGGCGCAGGGCAAGCGCCACGGCATCGGCCTGGAGAGCAAGGGGAAGTGGGTGTACAAGGGCGAGTGGACGCACGGATTTAAGGGGCGCTACGGGGTGCGGGAGTGCACGGGCAACGGGGCCAAATACGAAGGGACCTGGAGCAACGGGCTGCAGGACGGCTATGGCACGGAGACCTACTCGGATGGAGGTAGGTGCCCGCGGGTCGGGATGGGGCCGGGTGGGTCGGGTCGGAGGAGGGACCCTCCCCAATCCCCCCTCTGTTTATCTCCGGGGAAGTTGAGCCTCTCCCTCCCCTTGGACTGTGGGCGCTCAGGGCATTTCTTGGGTTCTCTGGAGGCCTCAGTGGCCCTGGCTACAGGTTGCCCCAGGCCTGGTGGGGGGCAGCGCCGGGGTGCCAACTCCAGGGTGTCAGGGTGCCAACTCCAGGGTGTCGGGGGCTCTCCAGCAGCAGAGCCAGGCTGAGGGCTGCTGCCTGAGTAGTGGATGAGCGCATCACCCAAGAGCAGGCCAGAGACCTGCTGGCAAGGCCAGGCTGGGCCGGTGGCCACCTCTGGGACCCACTAGGGGCGGAGGGGGTGGTGGAGAGGGCCCACTCTCCTCCAACACGGTCGCCCCCCTGGTGTGGCTGGAGCCAGGTACCAGCTTCTCTGCTTGTTTTCCTGCGGTGCCCAGGCCCTCCCTCAGTCCTGAATCAACCCTAGCCAACGGAGAGGGAGGCTGGGAGCGCGAGAGGGGGGGATGCCAACCCCAACCAAAACAGCCAGGCAGTAAACTTCTAGGTGGTTGGACGCGGGCTAGCGCTGTCGAAGCAGGCTGCTGGAGGGAGGAGGGAGGCCATCTGCTTATCGAGAGCCCAGGAATCTCTCCTTTCAGTGGCTGAACCATTTTTACTGTTAGTTGGGGGATGGCTCTGGGTCTTCATTCTAAGATGCCACCACATCCCGGACAGAGCCAGGTGCCGGAAGCCAGTGAACTGCCTGTAAGATGGTTTCTGTGCAGAAGCCTTGGCTGGCTTGGCAGCTGCCCTCTTGCCTGGACTCTCCAGTACCCACAACTCCATGCCTCTGAGAAGCAGGGAGCCATAGCGACTGGTCTCAGAAGCCAGACCCAAACCCAGGCGGGCCCCTCCCCCACTGGGAGCTCTTGCCCCGAGGTGGCTCCCGCCTCCCTCAGGGCCTCTCTGCTGTTTTGCAGGCCTGGATGCCTGGGAAGGGAGTGAGGCGCAGCAATGACTTGTGCTTCTGCTGGGGATAAAATCATGAGCGTGAGCGTCTGTGTGCTCGCCCTGCCTGCCTGTGCCCGAGTCTCCTGCAGGAAGCCCAGAGCTCGCTCCTCCTCATCCAGGAGTGATGGAGGGCTGGAGAGTAATTATTATTTTGGCTTATGCAACTGAAAGGCAGGGCTCGTTATTACCCAAAGAGGAGGCGGAGTCTGGGCAGTTAATTATATAATGCTCCCGCCTGCCGGCTCCAGGCCCAGCCCGGTCCCAGGAGGCCCGCGCTCTTGTTTTCATGGAGCCCCACGGCCCCTGGGCCTGAGGGCCAGGAGGGAACGGGCAGCCCTGCTTCAGAGCCAGGCTTCGGAGCCAGGCGTGGGCCTGTGTGTGTGTGTGCGTGTGCGTGCGCGCGCTTGCACACGCAGGCCTGGCAGCAGTTGTGGGTGGCAGAGGCAGGCAGGCAGGCAGGCAGGCAGGCAGCCTGGCGCTCCCAGCTGGGCTCTGGGGGAGCCCAGGGCAGTTGTCGCCCCCAGGGCTCCGGCTGGACTGCTCTGCAAAACTGTCCTCCAGAGGGGCTCCAGTGAGTGGTGACTGCTCCAGAGTGTGCTCCGTGTCCTGGGGCCGGCCAGGTGCACTGGGCAGGTGGGAGGAGGCCTTGGCCTCTCCTGGCCTGTGACGCTGGTAGGAATTTCCTGTGGTGAAGTCATGTCCCCAGGCCTGGAGCAGCTCCGGTGGCCTGAGGAATTCTTTCCCTCGTTGAACAAATACCTCTTGGGCACTTGCTGTGACCAGGTGCTCCGGGCTGTGGGAACACAGCAGTAAGCCAGCGGCTGGCATCCCTGCCCTCAGGGAGCTTCTGTTTGGGGAGAAGAGTGGAGACTCCCTGGCGATTCTGCGGGGAGGGAGCATCTGTGGGCTGGCTGTGAGCTCGTCCCTTCCAGGTTGATGTGGGCAGGTTCTCGGGGCCACCTCCTTGGGCTTTCCAGCCTTGCGCCCAGCCAGTCCCCAGAGTGCTTCCTGTGTGCCTGCTTTGTCCTGCCCATTGTACAGGCCAAGCCAGTGAGCCAGGCTGTCCACACTAGCTGGAGTCCTGGGTTCCAGTCTGGGGCAGCAGAGGCTCTGTTCGTCTGGGGCCACGCCCCCTTGTTCCCACCCCACCTGCCTGCCAGCTGCCGGGCATGTCCACCTTGTCTCAAGGGACTGTGGTCCTCGGGTCTCCTGTAGGCGCTCTGAGGCGGGAGCACAGGTGCCAGCTTCAGGGATGGTCCTCCCTCTTGGCTGGCCACCTAGCATGAGGGAACATTGAGTTGACCCTCTGCCCAGGGATGACCAGGCTCAGGCATCTGGGGCTAGTTCTCTGAATGTAGTCCCAGCTTCTCACGGGAATGGAGTGACCACTCAGGACTTGCATGCCTGTTTGTGTCCACAGTGGGGTGTGGTCACCTGCCAGAGTAGGGCAGGGGTCTTGCCGCCTTCTCCCTCCTGTGTCAGGGCAGACGGAGCCTTCAGGAGGGAAGGTCCCACCTCCAGTCCACTTGGCTTTTGTCCAGGATGTGGGAATTTGGGGGCAGCAACTGCAGAGCTCCCGAACTTTAGCCCAGCTCCAGTGCTGACTTGGGGAAACGCGGCCTCATGGAGAATGCAGCAGTGGCGAACGTCTCCCACATGGAGCTGGGGCTGGTGTGGACTGCGCTTCAGCTGGGGACACTTGTGCCAGCTCCTCCCCCGGCTCACCCTCCCCCGGCTCAGGCAGGCGCTGCTCTTGAGTGAGCCGAGCAGCTCCCACCGCCTGCCTGCGTGGTGTGCTCAGCCTGGGCGGCAGGGCACACGCTCCCGCAGAATCTGCCACCTGGCCTTGGAGCCTTACCCTGCTGGAGCTCTGTGCTGTGGCCTTAGGCAAGTCACTTAACCTCTCTGAGCTAGTTTCCTCGGTTTGCAGAGGGCTGGTGACAGAGCTGTGAGTGGCCAGGAGTGGCCGTTTGTGTGCAGGAGGACCTGCAGGAATGCAGCAGGCGCCTGTTGTGGGCCGTCCTTGGTGCCACTGTGATGGCCACTAGAGCCACTGGCCAGGCGTGATGGGGTGCCCGTGCACACGTGAGCGGGCTGCAGTGCCTGTGCTGTGTCGGGCTCCCGGCTCCACACCTGCAGAGGTGACCCCGCAGGTCCCATCCTGGCTGGGGAGCTGGCGCAGTGAGGAATGTGGGGGAGGGAGGGCCGGGTCCACGCTCAGGGTGGCTCAGGCCACCTCTGTCCACTTGCTCGTGTGGAATCCTTGTTCTTTCCCATCTCTCCTTCCCTCTGGGAGCAGTGCCCAAGTGCAGGCCGGCCACCCCACCTGTCCCTGGGGCCCTGAGTCCCCCGTGCCTCCCCGCTGGCCGGATGCTGTGCTTTCTGTGCAGGTAGATGTGCCTCCTGGGCGCTGTGGACGCAGAACCCTGGGACTAAAAGTCACCCCCTCTGATAATCCCGCCCACATCCTGAAAGGTATGAGTCACTCACACCCGGCCTCTCGCCCTCCTGCGCAGGGCCGCTCCCTGGCCCAGACTCCTCACCCACACAAATCACACCCACCCACAGCCCGACGAGCCACCCAGGCGCCTGCGCACACACGCGCACAACACACCTGCCACAGTCCCCACCCCGCCCCCAGCGGCCATGTGCCCCCTCCCCGTGGCTGCACCCTCACCCCGTGCTCTGCTCCCTGCAGCCTGCCCGGGGAGTTCCGTTGGCTCCCGGGTGGCACGCCTCGCTCCCGTGGGAAACTCCGCACGCGGCTAGTGCCTGTGGACAGAGCCTCTCCTCCACCCAACATGGACTGCCCACTGGTGCAGCATTGGTGCTTGTTGAAGTCCAGACACCCCAGTCAGGAGGAAGCGTCCCCTGGACCCAGACACTGCACCAGTAGATGCTCGTCCCAGAGCAGAGCACCAGAGCCCTCCCGCAGGCTGGGGGACGGCGGTTCTCAGTGATGCTCTTTCGGCCACGGGTGGGGTGTTGAGGGGCTCTGTGGTGACGGGGGAAGGTGACCAGGTGACCTCCCTCACGGCTGGGAAGGGGGTTTGGTGAGCAGCGCCCTCTACCAGCTCCTCTGCAGGGGCCCGCCGAGACCCAGAGGCACTGAGTGGCAGGGTGCTGGTGGGAGTCCCGGCTGATGCCAGCCTGCAGGGTGGCAGGAGGCAGGAGCGGGCCCCAGCCGGGTGCTCTCGGGGCTGGGGAGAGGGAGACCTGGGAGGCTGGGGCCTTGCCTTCCTCAGTTCCCGAGTCTAAACAGCCATCCGCCTCGAGCTCGTGATTTTTGTGGAACTTTTGTGCCTTTAAATGACAAGTACGTCCAGGTCTGTGAGTGCTGGGAGGGACGCCTGCGGAGTGTCCACGGTAGACCCTCGTGGGTCGCTTTGCCCAGGGCGCAGGGTCCTGGTGGGAGAGGCCACCGCCTCGGGGCTCTGGTGCATCGGCGGCGGGATCTTCAGGACCTTGGAGAGCGCCGTTCCGGGCCTGCGCCGTGGGGTTCTCTGCAGGTGACCTCCTGGAGCCTGGACGTCCTCACTGGGGACCACCTGGACCCTGGGCACTCCTCGCTGAGGACCACCTGGCCAGGACTTCCCGCGGGCGGGCTCAGAAGTGTGCCCAGCCCTGCTCTGTCCGCGTGTGGGTTCCGTTCCAAGGAATTTGCCTGTGTCCCCGACTGTCAGTCTGTTCTGAGGGGGCGGAGCGCCTGCCAGGTGCCGCCACCTCCTGGTGGACTGAGGGAGTGTCGCGGCCGCCAGTTTGGGGGCTTAAGGCCCTCCAGGGCCCTGGGCCGCCTCGCCTCCGCAGGTGTGTGCAGGGCCCTGCGGTGAAGCAGGTGAAGCAGGTGCCCGGCTGGCCGGGGAGGCCGCCAGAGAGAGGGCATGGCTCCCCGCTCAGCACCAGTGCCCATCAGTCACAGAGGCCCCTTCAGCACGCGCCCCCAGCCACACGGGGCTGTGAGT